TACACTGGGGCGATGAAGATGACGTATACTCTACTCCTTTCTACTATAAAGTTTCCATTTGCAGAGCAAGTCAAAGTTGATGAGCATGAATGCCAGTGCCATGGTTGTGTGAAGAAACGACAACAAAAAGAGGCGAATCGACCATGGAAACGTACCAAGAAGATCTTGACTGTTCTTGTAAGTGTTATTACTGTTTTCCTATCTGAACGCTGCATTGTCACGGGCCCTCATAATATCCACTCGAGAGACAACAAGATCTCGATATTCAAAAATCTGTCATTTAGTTTAAAAATACTAAGCAGATCAATTTCAGTTTCTTCTATTGGCATGGGTTGTGTTCGCGTTGATAGTGAAGAAGGTGACGGAAATTGAAGTTACACATGAGGAATATAATCCGTATCAAATTCTAGGGCTTGATCAGGTACATCGGTCAGCACATTCCTTCGTTTTAATCGAACCTGAAGAGTTTCACGTTTCAGGGAGCGGATCCGGCAGCTGTGAGGAAAGCGTATCGTGAACTATCGAAAAAGCTCCATCCTGACAGAGGTGGTGATGCTCAAATGTTCGACAAAATAGCGAAAGCTTATCAAGCTTTAACTGATGAGGAATCGCGTGAGAATTGGGAAAAATATGGTAACCCGGACGGACCTACAGGTAAAATGCCACTATTGTTGCCCCATAAGCTAATTCTGTTGGTGGATTGCTTTTTTTGCAATTTATTTTCTCTACCAAGAAGCGTTTTCAGCAACGACGTTTGGTATTGCATTGCCAAAATGGCTTGTAAGCAAGGAGTATGGACTATGGGTACTGGCGTTTTACGGGCTTTTGTTTATGGTTATTTTGCCAGTGGCAGTGGTGAGTAGTCTTTATTTTGCGGCGAAGTTTGGCTAGGTGGAGGACATTTTACTGGTCCCCATCGATTACTGCCGATGTTTCCAATGGAGACCTGTAAATTCTTGGCAAGCTATGCAATAGAAGGCTACTCACCAAGGTTAGGGGTGAGACAAGAAAAGGGCACAGAGACCCTAACAAAAATGATTAGCGAAAGTGCAAAATGCCCCTCCCAGCCAAACAGTGCCATGCTTGCAATGCAAAGCTTTTTTGCTTGTGATTTCATGGTCTTAAGGGTATTTGGTGGTACAACTCGATTAAATACAATGTGGACAAAGTGCTACTGGATACAACACAGTTGTTTTACTACTTCTTGCATAAGACTCCCAAAATGGAAATCAATCGTGGGTCAATTCGGTTTTTAGTAACATTTATTAGTTTTTCTTTTGTAAGGGTGAATACTGCTCAAAGCGCAGCAAAGAAAAGTTTGGCTAAAGGTAATAGCTATATCGCTCAGGAATGTTGATGCTGCTGGGAGGAGCTTTCGAATTTTGGAAACAGTACAACAAAGAAATCATCGAAAGAGAAACCGATGATGTTGAATTAACCCGGTACATTTCCATTTCCATTGATTTGTTTTTTTTACTGTTTTTTTTTGTTCTGGTCATCGTTAATAAAGCTCCATTCAGCCGTATGAAGTCGCTACCCAATCTCGGTGAAAACAAGAAAGAACGTCCACTCTCGCTTCCTTATTCGCTTAAAGCTCGAATTTTGATCCATTCATATCTCAATCGTATTCCACTGGACAACGAAGGGCTTGAGTACGATCAACGGTTCGTATTTTGAGTGTTGGGTATTTATAACTCCTCTGAGGCTCTCGTAGTGTTCATACTTCGCGTGCGCGAAAAATACGCGATTTGAAAAAAATCTGTTATTTGGGAGTGTACATGAAAAGTTAAGCACATATTGTTGGGGTGGTTCCGCGCTTCCAAGTCGATAAATTCTCATCTGGGATAGACGTCCAAGACACGTAGTTTGCAGCGCCGTCGCGCGCGGCGTACCATGCGGCCATGCGCGGCAAGTTCTCGATGTGCATCTAATTGTCGACTGGGCAAGCGAAACTCATATGTACTGAAGCGGAGACAGGAATGCGTGACGAGCGATATCCAGCTTCCGGTCCTTCAGCATTCAAATTCGAACGAACAGATAGAACAA